AAAGCATTATGAAGCTACACTCAGTGTTCTGTGAAAGCATTATGAAGCTACACTCAGTGTTCTGTGAAAGCATTATGAAGCTACACTCAGTGTTCTGTGAAAGCATTATGAAGCTACACTGAATGTTCTGTGAATGCATTATGAAGGTGCACTGAATGTTCCATGAATGCATTATGAATGTACTATGAAGGTACACTTAATGTAAAACGCTACCAAAAAGTACTCACAAGTGAATTCAGGTGATACACATGCTGTAGCAGGGGTAGAACTCCTGGTACATGAGTGTAAGGATGCCATAATATTTTAATATACCTTTTCACTTGCCTGTTGTTTGTTAAATATTTTTTGCAAATCATTAGTTCCATCTAATCAACATATTGAGGTCATAGTCTTGAGTAATTTTTTTTTGTTCTTCCTGCAGGAATGAGGATTAGGTTTTCAACTCATTTATTTACACATACAAATGCTTCAATGTGTACCCATGCATAAAACTGAATCCTTCCTAGCTAAAATAAATATTTAGCTAATATCACAGGCTATAAATCTAAAAGACAAGCACGCATTGTCTTAATTTGACATCAGCCTGCAAGCTTTAAGATAAAATCCCATACATACATAGATCCACAGATATTACTGTTATTTTTCTTATTTATGTGAGTGAGTGTATTTCTAAAGTAAGTTTTGAGTGAAATTTTCCTTCTGATTTCAACCATACTAAGCTGAATCTTTTTCATACTTTCGTGACCTTATTTTCAGTTAATACTATGTTTCAGGGTAAACATTTACAGTTCCAATGTGATACAGAGAATGTTTGCCGTCGTTGTATGACAAACGAAAAAGAATGTATGAGAATCGCATAAGCTCCTCAGTTCACAAAACAGATACGCAAAACGAATTGCGGACACGTTACAGGACGGGATGATGCGATATGGCTGCACAACACAGGACTCTGAATAAGATGCAGTTGCTGCTGTACATTTGTTGCATTTTTGTTACTATAACGTTTCATTTAGAAACATTTCAGAAATGTTGTCCAGAAAAAAATAATCTCTGGAGAGTGACTAATTACTGATCTAATGAAATAATCATCGCATAATCTGGATAATCCAAAAGCAGAATGTACTACATTAGGCCGGACAGCAAGGTATTGTAGAAGAATGTCGAAGAAAGCATTGAGAGACTGGGACACCTTGCATTATACATAGCAGGTAACTTTGGTTTAGAAAGTCTGAATGTTTGTTACCATCAGCACCACCTTATTGCCTGGTTCTAACTCCAGTGGAGACAACCCCCCCCCCCCCAAAAAAAAAAAAATGGATTAGGGAAGAATAAAGGGCTTAACAATTCACATTCTGTTGGCTTCTCCATCTAAGGGTGTGTAATGTAGTTTATGCATCATGTTTCACAATGAGCCTTTTCATTATTACTCTTTTTTGGTCTTTGTCATATTTGTAAATCATACAAGTTCAATGACGAACGGCATGTGTTACGGAAGAAGAACGTCCGCCTAGATCCGGGCGGCTTTCATTCCAGCCGTGTGCACTAACATGCTAAAACCTCCATAGTCACTCTGCCACCATTGGGCCCCCCAGTGTCCTGTTGCTAAATGTCTTGTGTTGTTTTCACAGTTCCCACATTTCATAACGCAAAAGAATGACACAGAACGTCATCGTAACAGGCATTCCCAGCTCTCAAATCCCAGATCCTCCCCTATGTGAACAATGCAGTAAGAATAACACTTTGCCGTTACTATTAAATGACACAGTTGATTGGGTGGTGGTGGTCGGGGGGGGTGTTACTCACGTCTCGGCTCACGTGGGCCATCCACTGTGACTTTAATGGCTCTGTGGTAGGTTGCCACCTGTGGTGGGTTTGTGAACACCGTGATCGTCAGAGTGAAGCTCTTTCCTGTAAACACAGAGGTTGAAAACCATATTAGCGCTATACTCAGCAGCATAGAAACAAACAAACAAACAAAATGGCAAGTAATGGTTACTGGAGTACTGAGGAATGAGTACTGTACAGTATGTACAGTGTAACTCTACTGTACAGTATATAAACCCTATTCCATGTAATAAGAATATCATGAGAAAACTCCACACACGAGAAGGAATTATATATCACTTGAGAAGAAAAGAAGCTAGAAAGTATTTTACAGCAAATATAGCATAGTATAGTATAGTATAGTACAACATACTGCAGTAACTGCATAGCAATAATAACAGCATTATTACTGTTATAGTGCCAGTAGATTTGTTATACTTTTTAAATGTTCCATCCATAAAGGACATACAATAAAAGGAAGAGCTTATCTTCCCATTCGAACCCGTTCCTGAAAACAGCCTCAAAGCTTCTATACCTGTTAAGTCAGCTCACATTTTACACATTATTATGTCATAAAACAAATACTTGCTGTGCATGTTTGTCTTTCAAGCTTGAAACCAAGAGCCTTGGCAAATAGCAGCTATGCCTTAATCAAACGTTAAAAAAATAAATAATAAAAATAATAATAAAAAGCTACAGCCAGTTTGCACATTGCTGTAGTGTGGGATCAGCTGGACTGTAGTGTTGATAATGATGAACAAATTTGGGGAGTGGAGTAAGCAGAAACAAGCACTTGCACTGGTTTCAGCTTCTCCTGGGTTAACCTTGTCTAGTGTGGGTGGAAGCCTTTTATAATCACAGTGTCCAGTTACAGTAAGCGAGCCATATGTCTTAAAAACCATGGGTACTAATCTAATTGTCTCACAGACTAAAACTTAAACAAAGTTACACCCATCAATGGTATGTCTGTGTCCACAATTGTTATTAAATGTACTCATCAAAAATATATTTTAGATGAGGTATCTTCTGTGTCCGTTCAGGTCTAGGTACGCAACATGTTTTTTTTTATTTTTTATCTGCAGCTGCGCTACTCGTACGTTGATTTACATTGGGTTAAATGGGGTATAGCTCCTAGGACCTTTTGATAACTTGGTGGGGCAGCTTACTCAGCAACTGTGCTAATCGGTGAAGTATGCGGACGGTCGGCCGTATCCCATGCTTGGGGCCGTAATCGCTTCCAGAGACAGGAAAAGGTGGGCGGACGCAGTGACTCAGTGAAACGAACAGCCCCACACATCTCAGCCCGTCTGTCAGCCGGCTCAGCTGTGCATACCGGACCGTGACTGTGCCTCTTGTCTGTTGCCATCTTGACTCAAAGTAACCGACCTAACAGGGCAATCGACAAAGCCGATTGCCACTATGCCACTATAATGCCGCTATGACCTGCTCAGCTTGCAATGCTGTAATTATACACACCCGCTCTGCCATTTTCAGAAACTATCCCTGTCAGCTATAAGCGGTATTAGTGACTTTTAACACATTTGTTTAGCTATAGTCTCAAAAGTAGTATTATGACCAATTGCCATAAAAATGTCTGAGTGTGGTCGATTGCTGTCATGTTCTCACACCTAACAGTTTACCGTGGGCTATTTTTTTCAATCGGCAGAATACATTTAGTCTTGTTGTCATACGGCTCTAAGCTTAAAGTGTTACAATGACCCTGCACTTCACTGGAAAAATAGCTTGCATGCAGGGCTATTCTGATCTTATTATGTGGTGCCAATAACATTCAGGGAGATCAGTAATGTTATAATGGCTCATTTAATTGCTACAGTTCATTTGAACAGTGAACCTGTCTAGCATGAAAAACAATAGTCCCTTTAGTACATCCCCCTCCCCTCTTGGTAATGCAGTATTCTGAGTTATTTGTGGTATCTAAATAGAATTATTCTTGGTATTTAATTGTTTAGTGAATCTCTGGCAAAGGCTCAAAGTATTGGCACTAAACATACTAAAGCTAAATTAATAGTTTTGTAGCTAGGTATTGTTTTCAAACTTTCAAAGACCTTATTTGGCAAATTACATCCCAAGGAGATTTGGAAATAAACATAATAAAGAGTATTTTGTTGCAACAGGTCCATAATGCTAGCATTCTGGTACTGTTGAACATTCCGGGTTCTGAATTCCGGGAACTGCCGGGAGAGGGCAGGGGAACATGAGTGTTCTTTAACTCTGCAACGCATGACTCAGTTCCAAGGATCTGACACATCAAGTCGGGGAACAAGTCAGGACTGAGCTCCCTTTGCCCGTCCTGCCTCTGGCATCATACTGCCTGGGATTCAACATATACAGCTGCCTTCAAAGGCTCGGAGAGTAATGGAGAGCTTGGGATCACAGGGAGTGGGTGGATCAGTTTTGGACATAACAGCTCTCATATCAAAAGAGCCATTCTTTATCTACTGTATGCATAAACACCATCTGCACATGCAGAATTAATTATTTTTGCTGACAGGCTATAGAGCCACTAAAACAGACTGTAGCAGTTTTTGATTGACGACTGGCTGTTGTTTACTGTTGACTACATTCACCTGATTTATACCTTTATGTGTGAACTGAGTCTACCTGTGTATCTTATTTATATACACTGCATGCTGTAGGTAGGCAAAAATGTAAGTGAAAAGATATATAAAGACTGCCGCAAACTACACACACACAAACACACACGGATGTGAGATAATTGCATAAATGCATTTTAAAATTTTTATATACTGTGTACGCTTTTATTTTGATACGCATTTGGATATGGATAAGATTGCATCATCTTGGAAAACTGTATAAAGGAAAACTTGGTGAAATACTAAAAGATCCTTAATTTATAGAATAAAGGGTGGCATAATGAGGTACATACTGTACTGTAAATAAAGTTTGTGTTTTTTTGTGTTATAACTGACGTAACAGATTCACAGATTCTGCTTACTATAATGTGTCGCTCTTTAGTTATTCCTGTTCTGGCATTTGTTGGCTTCACCGCTTCAGTCATTGTGCGATATTTTATGAGCCGTGATTTTGACCAAGTAATGCATTATAAAAATGGATGGTATTTCATTTGGCCAGCTGTCCATAGCCATCTTTTGCAGCTGTGGTCTGTACCCAACCTTAATGGATAGAGAGTCTTAACAGTTACGTTACAGTTACTGTTATTAGATGACTGAAGGGCATAGCCTTGAAAATCTAAATAGATCTAGCTTTAAATGCCTTTTAAAAAACATGCGTTTCTTTCAAATGAATACAATGTTATAGTTATCAGGTTTGATATAATGACATAAGGTTGGATAATTAGGATCTAGATAATGCCAGTAAAGAGAGACTGGGACTTCCCCCTCATGCTAAAAGGGCTGCTTGATTTAGAGGAAAATTTCAGGTCTAGTTCTATATATACATAGAGCTATTTGGATATCACTATATATACATATCCAAATGGCAAATGATCTGATGCATCTATTTATGTGCTTAGCTTGTATCCAGGGAAAATGGGACTGACATTAAGAACCTGTTTATAGAACCGCTTAGTTACTTTAAGGTACAAACCAGGGATTTGTGTGCCACTTAAAGGGCCAGTGTCCGTTTCGGAATATGAACTTAGAATGACGTTAATCATAACCAATAAACTAAATTTAGGAGATGATTTCACCACAATCTGATGTTTTGGAGCCATTTCGTTTCATGGGCCCCATGGCCCTTTATATGGTATATTCCCGTGCGGCACAGAGAATGACGCCACTACATACTTCATCGTAAGTAAACATAACTAAGTATACATAATATATGTAAGTATACGCTGGGCAAATGATAATGGTAAAATATTGATTAAAATGTCACCTGTAACTGGCTTGTATGCTCCTGCTCTCTAGAGGCACATAAGGCACAGTGAAGCTCACAAAAAAAGCCACATACGCTTATAAGATCATTCCTTATATTCTACAACAATATCTCATATCCTTCCATTCACACTTGCCATATGCTAATGTTACAAGAAGGTGTGAGTAGTATGTATACTGGAAGTATAACGGTAAGCTGGAGGTGCATAAATGGCTAAAATTTTGGCTTTCTTAATATAAAATCAACGCATATATTTGTACCAAGACCCTACTCAACTCCTATACAATATATATAAATACAACATCTACGCTTACCTTTCATTCTACAGCATTCAAAAATTACACCATAATACCATCCCAAAAAAAGATATGTAACTATACATTAGCAGATAATCAAGTCAAGTGATAGCTAATTTTATGTAACATAAGACTGCTTGAACTGCTGCATTGAGAAACCTAATACAGTCAGTAATATAGTATTATACCCCCGAGGCTTCAATTTTCCCAAGTTAGGTTAACTTTGAAGTTGAACAGAACAATGAATGGCCTGTAGAGGAGGTTACACATGTATCGTGCAACCTGTGTATTTCATTTAATTAAAATTATCAGATTATACATAAAAAAATTTCTGTTTAGTGTATAATCATTCTTCAGAATCTAGTATTTTTCATACTGTGATGGAGCATGTTGTGCTAATTCAAAGTTATTTCTATTGTATGTAAATATAGCATTAAAAATATTTTTTTTGTTTCAAATCAATATATTACATATTTCCTGAAAGATTTCATCTTTATTTTTTGTCTTAAAATAACTTTGTTACATTAATAAATGCAATACATTTTGTTAAGAAAATGACATACTTATTAATCAATAAGAAAAAAATATAACTTCAATGGATATAATCAATGTGCAGATGAATGACACCAAATGAATCGATTTGCATGCGCATATATTTCTAAAGCTATTTGTATGTTAGCATTGTGTAACGTTAAACGTTAGCATAACATAAGAATATGAACTTAGACTTGAAGCTCAATGAAACTCCCAAAACGGCTTCTGTGTGGAACCCCAATTAACTGAGCCATGATCTCAAAATCAATAAACAACCTACCTCTTCCACTCCGCCCCACAAACCTGAGGTCATTAAAACGGGCCACTTGGTTCTTCATGACGGCTGAGGCATTCCGAAGCTCCGCTGAGTAGTTTTCATCATTTCCAGCCATTACTGTTACAACTGTCCCGTCTGGCACCTCTCCCAGTGCCACCACCTTCACAAAAAAGGCGTACATGCCACATGAAGAAAGATCAACACGTAAACACACACGCACACACACACACACGAATTTGGCTCAGCTTCTTTTATGTATTAAGCCCAGTGGAAAAACATACTGTTATGAGTTTGTTAAAGTAGATTTTGCATTATGAAAAGGAAAAGAAAAAAACTACTCATCTGCCAACTTTGAAACTTATTGATACATTTTGTTGCAACAAGCAGGAAATATCACATGTAAAACTCATAATGAATTTAGACATTTTATAAATGACACATATTTTACACATCATTATGTTGATGAATCCTCTTAAATATGTTATATACACTTATACATGAAAGACAGGATGAAAGATTACATAACAATACAAAACAGAAAATATATACATATTTTTTTTGTATCTGGCCTATATATTTAGCTGATGAACCATGCAATAGCATATTGAATGGGTTTTCAGTTTTACACAATGCAGATCCATAACAGAGACCAGTAAAAGATATGTAAGACACATACTAGCAAGCTAAATCATTTAATAATTCAACTTTACAAAAATGCAGTCAAAGCCCCTTTAATTGTTATTAATACTCTGTCAAACAGGTGTTGGTGACTAGTCAAACTTACAATGTTTATTCATACTTTTACATCAAGCAATTACTGCAGCAATTAGGAGGCGGTATTTTGTTCATAAGACCAAAATGGTCTCAGTGGAATTCGAGTCGGTCAACAGGCTTCAGATTCAAGGTTTTTTTAAGTCCCTCAAGACCCTTGTAATAGTCTTCACTGATCTGTTTACGTAATTTGCCGGGATGGAGTCTATTTTGTGAACCAATTCAACGTAAAAATGCATATACTGGATAATCACCCTTTTGTCCATCATAAAGCACAGTTTGCATTCCTATTCACTGCAAAAGTACAGTTGAAAAGAGGCAAGATTTCTCTGTAAAATTTACCAAATAATGCCAAATTCACGGTTGATACCACAGGAACACTCCAAAAGTTTCTTTAAAATTCCCCATTACTCTTCATGTTAAAATTTTCTAATCCTCTCCTCAGTGCACAGCAGACAGCTGGAAAAGGTCTATGCCTCGAGTATAGTCTGAATACAAGTAGGCCTATGTAAGTATATAAAACGTATACGACAAACTAAACACATATGGAACACAAATTCATTAAATAATATATATATATTTGTTTATTAGGGCTATGTATCTATTCATTTTATAACCTATAACTTACAGTACATTGCCCAGGGCTAATTCTTTGTTCCAAGACGTAATGCGTTTAACCACTTTAATACTAAAGCTTTCATTATTGTTAATTTATATGTACATCACGAAGGCACATACAACAGCCGTACTTGATTAATTTATCACATGCAAGCTCATGAGAACTTGAGGACTGCTCCATCCTAGTGAAAAAGTTTCAAACACCGCCTTCCAGACATCACCCCTTGAGTTATTCAATAGCAATCTAGCTGTGAAAACAAGATGCGCATTTGTGTTTTGCTTGTAATAATAGTACCAGTTTTTCTATTATTTAGTCACCCGTGTGCAAATTATTAAAGATGCATGTGATCGTAGCTATGAATAGCGCGGCTTACTCGGATTTCAGGTGTCCCAACATTGCGGTAGGCATGTGAAGTAGGGCTTCTATTTTTAAACGCGGACTATGCATTTACCTGCATTAAAGCTAATTGGGTACCTTTATGTGGCATGCATTTCATTCAAACTCCTAATGGAAAGTCGCACCTAAAGTCATCAAATTTGTTACAGACCGGGCATTTACAAAAAAAGGAAAGAGAAAATAAGAAAAGTTTCCAAAAACGCAATCAAAATTAACATAACACAACATAGGTTAGCATTCAGTATTTTATTCAAAAAATAAAAATGTGGGTATGTTTGCTGAATAGGCAGGATATCAGTGCGTACCTCGAAATGAACCGTAAATAGCTTACCTTGAAGGCTACGGGCAGTGTTTTATTACACCTCCAGTGAGATGGCAGGACGGAGCAAAGGAAATTAGGGCTGTCAGTCCGGACAAGTTCTGCGGGGTGATCGGCGATGATTTCCACCATAGTGCGATTATCGTGCGGCCGGAGTCTGGGCATTGCTGGACTCGCCTCTTGTTGCCCTGTAGCAGAGCTCAAATCGTTCATTTTTCCAGGGACCGGCTGAAGACTACTAGACGGGGGACTGAACCTCCGGCTGGTGCTGGGATCTACGGGAATGCGCATCACAACACTATATATTAGTAAAGGTAAAGTAATTGAAAATATTGCAAAAAAAATCTGTTTTCCTTTAGCGGAGAGTCTCAGTCCCAGTAGACGACGCAAGAAATATTTCGTGCGCTTACGATAACAGGAGAGCGTTTCAGGACTGCGCAAAAATAAGGAATGTGTATCCTTTCAGTCGTACCCAGCAAAACGCGACTGTGAAGTACTCGCTTTCCGAGTAACATAATTCATATAAAGGCTGCTTTATAAGCTACCGACGCAGTTTGCGCCTTAATTCTAAAATAAACTGATTTTAAAATAGGTGTTCTAAATAGTATCTGAAAATAGCTCCAGAAAGGTTTCTGCCTTCGGTAACTTAATCGGCTGTTTTATCCAAAAAAGAAATCAGACTTTTCAATTGAGTGTTACGCGTAGAACTGCTGTGGAAAATCATTTAGTTTTCGAAATATCCTCTGTACACCTGGAATCCAATTGGCCTACAGCAAAAAAATATATATTTATATATATATCATAATAATAGAAAAAGTTCTTCCGATGAATCAATGGGTTATGCAAATTATCAAAAGCGCACTAAACTCTTTTACGTAAACATCATAAAGCTGTCCGGCTTGAAATTGTTTCGTAGTCAACCCCGCAAAAAAATGAGGCGCCTTTAGTACAGGGTTAAAAAATCATCCGAAGAATTGCGGTTGGTTGAATGAAGGTGGCGAAAAAACTCATGTTTTGTGTCCAAAGCGTGTGGTTAGTCTTTGGAGGCAGGGTCTTGTAGTGCTCTGGTTTTGTGGTTTATATATATACAGTACTAGGCGATCATTATGCTGATGAGGCGCAAGCACGTGGTGTCTGAGGGCAGTCATCATAGAGCATTTAAAATAAATAAGGGTGCGCCTGTCCTGAGAAGTTCTCATCAAATGTCTTATCTTACTTATGATATCTTAATCTCAAAATTTGACTTCCTACTACATAAAAATGTCAAATTAAATGACGTACGTGTTATCCCTTATAACCTATTATTTAAAAAATGAAACCGGTCATAGATCTTATGAATAGCGTATCCTACGTAAACCAGCCGAAGAGTTACAAACACATATGAGAGTTTTGCGAACACCATTTAGAGTACAATACACCAGGTACTTCATATTAAGTTATATTCATCGGAATTTCTGCGATCTGTTCTCTTTGAGGTAGTTCAGTGGAAATTAATGAATGATGAACCAAGTGTTTTCTATTAATTTCACAGGCAGGTTACAGCAGCACATGTTATAATTCTTTTGAAAAGTTTAAAGAATAATCCTCCTTAGTACAAGAACTCAAAGAAACAGCAGCCTAAAGCAGCCCAGAAGCGAGGAGAAATTAATGACTCACTTCCTTTAGTCTCAGTCTGGTTTACAAGAAAAGACAAGAAATATTTCCATTTGGTCGGATGGGTGAGCTGTCGCACAAGTACTGCGTTATTTATGTAAAATAACAGACGAGTTTCGAAGATGGAACAGAAAATAAAGTTACAAGAACATATATCTAGAACAATTATTAGTATTGTTGCTGTGATTATACACTACATTATTATAGTACAGTAATATAAATTCTTGTGAAATATTTGGCACTGATTATCGATACTTAGTATTTTTAAAGAACTGAATATTAGATGAGTCCATCGGGTGGATTTTAACGATCGAAGGACAGGGTTTATGATTATTAAGCATGGCATTTCAGAGAAATATATTCATAACCTACTGTGGCGCGTGAATAATAGTTGACAGTAACTCGCGCCAATTCAAAATTAACACAGACACGCAATTTCAGTACAAACTGCTCGGGGATAGTCCGCCGTCTTTAGAGGATGAACGTATTTCAGTGTGCGACAAAGAAAACGAACTACAGAGCACGCATTCTGAAGCCGAAAATAATGGTTACATAATGAATAAGAACTACAAAATCCAGAGGGCTAACCGCAGTGACGTCAATTACTGAGCCGCAGCTTCTGCATGTTCCAAGATTCAGTGGTAGATTTTTAAGAGGTATCGGACTAAGGTAAGATTGTTATAATATTGTGATATGGCAAGCTGGTGTTTGTCTGCAACCAAGACTTCAGTAATGTGAAACGCTGAATAGTTGCTTGTTAATATATGTGTAACATTTCTAGTCAAACAGCACTGTGCAATTGCAAGAGGAATATATGTAAGACCGAAGAATATGAAATACTCAGGTAATGCCCAGCCAGTCCCGAGACAGCGGTCACTGTACGCTTACTCATATAATCTGAAGTAAAATAAATTCTAATTACACCCTAAAGAGTCGGAATGAACGTAATATTGGCCTTCTTGTGTATAGATAATTGAAAAGGAAAAACAAGCTAGGTCTGAAATGGTGAACTAACAGCGGAAGCGAACTCATTGAATAGTTTTTGGGCTACCGTTCATTTAGTCACCAACAATGTGAAGGATAACAGTGCACTTTTGGACAAACTTTGCTTTTCAAGGATGCATTGTAGAAAATCCGCCGGGTTTGTGACTCCTGTATGTTACGTTGGCAATCCTTATTCCAAATTCGCCCATAATAATACTTTATTTTTTTATTACTTTTCAGATAGCATTTTAAAATGTTTTATATGCACTTTCCATGAAAGTTTAATAATAGCCATTTAATATCTGAATTTGCAGGTAATGACTTACTACGAGCAGGTGATGGGATGATTGAAATGTGTATATATTGGGAACTCGTTTTTTCCCTTAGGGTTTAAATAAAAGTGGACAATTGAGGGTCCATTGTTTTCTCAAGGATTTTTTTTTTTGTAAGGGAAAGTGCTATGTGTTGAATGGGGTTGTTTTAGAGGTAAGACTATTGCTGTTATGGTTAGATTTTATTTTACTGAAAAATTATGAATCAAATGTGTGTAAGACATATAATATAGAATGCATTTTAGCTCAATTATGTAATTGTCTCTTTTTTCCTTCATCAGTCTTCAAGGAAGTGATATTTCAAGATAAGCCGGCACCAGATGTTTTAGCTTCTGTGCTAGGTACTTATTGGTTGATGACACATCTTTTAATGCAAACTGGCATCTGTAGAAAGAGAAATTAAGAGTTAAAGCTCCATTAAAGTGTGTAATTAAAGAGGAATATGCACTAAGTAGATACTGCACCCCAATTCTGCTCAATCAAGTTAAGTGCCGTTTTAAGCCTTTGCATGTTGAAGTAATCAGCTTGTCGCATGAGCTCATTTTATGAATATGGTGACCATCTGCCTTCTCAATCCAAACTGAAAATTTTGCCCAGCGAATGTGCGATTACAGGCAGCTATTAGATTTTATGTTCAGTGTTTTATTGAGTGCCATCCCGCGTTCACAGCATTTCCCCTTTTATGTCCATGAAAAGGGAATTGGGACACTTGCGTTTCAGCACTTTGAAGTATCAAAGGATGTTTTTCATCTCAGCCACGGAGCAAGATGCAGGGAGTCGGAGTCGCAGAGCAGGAGGGACTGGTTGTCCCAATTATGGTTTTGTTAGTGGTGCAAAAACTGGATGCCCACCTATCTGAGGTGATCTGGTAATCGGATAAGGGGCTTACCGTAGGAAGACAGTGGTTTCCAGTTCAGCAGAGCTAACAGTCATGGAACAGGTAATATTGTTCAAATACAGACGGCTGAGCGTAATCGTAAAAGTAACTTAATTTCCAAATGTAAATGTTTCTGTAGAGGTCAGTAGTGGGTCTTTGACTGCTTTTGTTTGGGCAGGTGGTACAGCATCCTGTTCTTACTTCCTGAAATCGGGTACCCATGAAATTGAAGGTCTGACTGCATGGTTTGAACTATAAGGTGTCTTGTTGAACATAACACGTATCTGTCTGTGTTCAGATATTTGTTGTCTGTCATTTGTATGATTTATTGTTGGCCTTAAGAGAATCAAAATGCTATTGAAATTAGATGGATGAATGAATGGATATAATTAATTGCAACTAGTGAAGAAACATGTAGATATAAAATCCATATATATTTAGACAGTGTTTGCTTCAAGATATTATTATTAATGTTTGTATGATATGATTCTGTTGAGCTTTTGTTGAAAAAAATTAGACAGGCATGCATTACGATCTGAATATAGTGATTATCTAAAGGATGTTGTAATGCAATGCTAAGTTTGACTCTGTGAGGACTTATGCAAGTGATGGCTTTTGGAAAATTGAATACAATCCACCCTTTGTTATGACGGTCATGCACGTTGTGACATTAAGAAAACAGTTCTTAGTCATTCCGTTTCGGAATTCAGGCTGGATTATAATAGACTGTCGAGGCCTGTGCAAGAAGAATCGTTCAAAGGAGGGGGGAACCAGGTCTTTGCAATGGTTTACTTTTGCTTCTCCTGTTCTGAGAAGAACTCCACAAGGTGGGGGGGGGGAGTTAAAAAAACTAGTATACCCCTTAATACAGAATCCTGACTTGAACTTCCACATACTTCTAATATTATGGTGTGTAATTAACAAAAGAATGTATCTAAAATAAAATTTAAAAAAAACGTTGATAAATATGAAATGTTGAAAATTTTGTTGAAATTGGAAACTTTTAAAATAGTTTTGTTGTGGAGGACTGGTACCCTGAAATGAATGCCAATGGTACTGATAAACGGTTAAAAGGAAAAAAAAAAACGTGTAAAACAGACTTATTGCGTCAAACACAGCAAATATGGCCCTGGTAAGAGTTTTAATGAGGTGTGTTTTCAGTATTAAAATGTATATGCATCTTGGAGTCCCTGCGTGTAAAATTTGTTTAATTGGGGTTCTCAAAAAATAAAAATATTTATTTAGTTTTGGGTCTGGATGCAATATGCTGAATACTTACATAAAACCAACCAAAGCCTGCAATTTGAAATAGTTTTTCCTGGATTTTGGCAAAGTGGGTAACTGAAGTCCGGCGCTATATATTTGAAAAACTGGACAGATTTATGGAAATAGAGCAATTTTTCTCCTTTTGGAATTGAGGGGGTGTGGT